CCCCCTCCTCCTGCCCCCATACAAGTACTGCCTGTTTATAGTGCAGTCTCAGAGTGAGAGTGTGGGTGGGTGTGTATGATGGGAGGATCTATGTATTCCCAGGCTAGATGGCTGAGAGCTGCCTAGCATAGCCTCAAGAGCTTCTGGCCTCTTACCCAGTGCTTGTGAGTAGGGCAGGGTAGCGGTAGGCACACAACACTTCGGACCCACTGTCTTAGACCGTCCCACAGCGCGAGCTTAGCGGGTCCATCTGCCAGTCCCTAAGCCCCTACTTATGCCGGTGTATTTTTCAACCCTGTTATTACTAGATCTTAGTCCTCTGCTGTATATTTCCCTTCAGATATTTATAGGGCTTTCACAATCCCATAAATACCATTTCCTTTAGCCTGTATAAATTTAGCTCCATCAGCCTCTCCCTTCTAAGGCCTCAGCTTGGTGCCTATTGTTGGACACACACACTCTCTCTCTCTCTCCTCTCTTTCATGTCTTCTTAACATGCAATGTCCTTGCTGCGTCACCAAGAGAGCCCAACACGATGCTGGCAGCGTTTCTCCACAGTGTTCCTTGGGAGCCAGATTTGTAAGGGAGACACGAGTGGGGGGGGTGTGTGTGTGTTAAGCTCTTGAAACCAGCCTGAGCTGGACTGATGCAAATTGCAGCGAGCTTTACCTACACTAGGGGTTTGTACTGGTGCCAGGCCACTGATGGCTGGAATCAGGGCAAGACCTACGTGAGTGTAACTGACACCGTCTGGCCTCTCACTGTGCGTGGTGCACCACTTGGGCTCCCCGCTGTGGCCGCAATACTGCAAATACGTACATGCAGTTGGCATCAGTGGTATTATTAGGGTGACCAGATAGAAAGTGTGACAAATCAGGATGGGGGTGGCGGGTAATAGGAGCCTATATAAGAAAACGCACCATATATCGGGACTGTCCCTATAAAATCGGGACATCTGGTCACCCTAGGCATTATATATGTGCTTAAAGTTAAGAGCATGAGTAAGTACTTGCAGTATTTTCAGAGTCACTGCTGTCCAGGATGTTGTCCCCCATTTTGTAGGTATGGGGTGCATTCCTTGTTGCTAGATGTACAATTTTGCATTTGGCTGTATTAAAACACATTGTGTTTTCACAGACTAGCTTACTGAGTCATCCAGATTCCTCTGTATGACTGCCCTGTCCTTCTCATTATTGGCCATTCGCCAGTCTTTGTGCCATCTGCATATTTTATCAACAGTGATTTTATATTTACTTCCAAATCATTGATGAAAATATTGAATAGCATGAGGTCTAGTGCCCTGCAGAACCCCACTATAAACACCCCCATTCCGTGATGGTTCCCCAGTGACAGCTGCTTTTTAAGATCTGTCAGTCAGCTCTCAGTCCATTTAACCTGCGTTTTGATATTGCAGAGTGCTAATATTTTAATCAGAGTGACCGGATACTGAATTAAGTGCAGTACAAAACGTATTTATTACATCTACACGGTTGTCTTTATCAACCAAATGTATAATCTCATCAAAGTGAAATCAGATTTGTTTTGACAAGACCTGTTTTCCATAAAACCATGTTGAATGGCATTAATTATATTCTCATTAGTTATTTATTGAATCCTGCATCAACTTTTCCATTATTTTGCCCAGGATAGATATCAGGCTAACCAACGTACAGTAAACAGGTTCGTCCTGCTTGCCCTTTTTGAATACAATATTGGCCCAATATTAGCATTCTTCCAGTCCTGAAATTTCCCTGCTAGTCCAAGATTTCTTAAAATTTAACATTGGTGGGCCAGAAGTCTCAGTCAACTCTTTTGGAATTCTTGGATGCAAGGTATCCGGGCCTGCTGATTTTAAAATGTCTATTTCTCGTAGATGCTGTCTAACATCCTCCCCCGTTACCAAGGTCCTGGAAAGTAGTTAATCATCCTCATATGATACCATCATTCTCCTTCTTTACGGATACAGAACAGAAATATTTATGGAACATTTCTGTCTTTTCTGCATCATTAACGATTTTACCATCTCCATCTAGTAATGAGCCTCTATCATTGTTAAGATTCCTTTTGTTTCTAATATATTTAGACACCTTTTTAATTTTTCACCCTCGTGTCCTTAGCTTCCCTTATCAATATTTT